TCAGCATCTTGTCNGTCTCCCACCGTAATTCCTAGTGTCAGTCCAGTTTGAATCTCTCGCCTCAGCCAACAATTCTTCCAAACCCTTCACCACCACCCAGCTACTCTCTTTTGGGTCATAAGCTCTCAGCACCTTCCAACCACAATCGTAGCAATACAATACGTCATCAACGACACACGAACCCACCCAATTGAACATATTCAGCATCTTGTCTCTTTCCCATTTATTTTCCTTTGGCTTGTAAACAAAGCTGTTAATTTGATCCTTAGTGTACATCTTACCAGCCATCACCACACAATCACCAGGCCGTATGTAACCCATCGGTGTCTCTGGCATTGTCTTCATAGGCTCCCACATTTGTGTTTCTGTATTGAACACTATGACATGATCCAAATTGTTATAGTATCCAGTTACATATATTTTCCCGTCAATGATGTCAGCAACTGTTACATACATGTTTATATTCATACTAGGCAGGAGGTGCACCGTTTGAGATCTACAGTCAATGCTTATCGCATTCGGTGGAACTGAGTTCAAACTACGAAACACGTATATCCTCGAGCCCACCGCGACAAAACCTCTCTGGCAACGCATATATTTGGAAAGCGAAGGGATAAGGACCAAGCTGTGACTGCCGTTGGCTTTCCGGCGGAGACAATACAACTGGCGATTACCGTTTTCTCGATTAAAGAGGACAACGTAGAGACGGTGTTCCGTGCATCCTAACAGTGATCTTCTTGCGTATAGCTCATGAGAGGTAACAAGTGATCGGAAGTGCTTGGAGACAAGGGAGAGTATTGGATAGTAGCAACTCTGCACACGTGCTAAGATGTCAAGGATGATGTCTTCGGGAAGTGACGGGATCATGGACGGCGGTTCTGAAGATTGCTCCTTCTTTGACCTAGTTTTAGACGACATCCTCAAACTTTCCTCCAATATGAGAGAGAAACGCACAACAACCCTAACGTTAAAGCTCTATTAAGGGCCTCACTGGTTAAGCTCTATTAAGGGCCTTAATAGTTACAACGCAACGATTGCGGTTGCAGATGTTTGCGAATGTTGAAGTGTTGGTATGTATTTATCACTTCTAATTATATATTTATTTTATTGTATTTGTATTTAGTTATTAATGAAATTAATATATTCATGAGAAAACATATTTGGAAATTATTTCGCATTTAATTTATGGTAAATTTTGACCTGATCTTCAAAGCTGGATTTTCTTTTACCAATATTTTTATGTTTAATCATTTTTAGATAATATATTATTGTATATAAAAAAGTCTAAGATATGTTAAATTTTTGACATGTATTATAAAGTTTGCTAATTTTAAGACGTTCTATTATCATATTATATTTTTAAAATAAATAATTTATATTTATGAAAATAAAATTCATAAATTTAATATAATTTACTCATTTTAGCTCAATAATAATTGTATTTTAACATACTGATTATAACTATAAAATAAATCAAATAGGATATCATTTAAATTTTTCATTTTATAACGATGATATAATACATTAAGTTATTGTAAAATATTTTTACACAGATTTATTAGAATTTTTAAAATTTAATAGTATATATATATATATTTATATTTAAAATGAAAAAGATATCATGAATAAAGTAGTTATAAAGATTTTATATCATTAGCTCTAGAGAAATACATATTAATTTATATACATGTATTATATAGTTTGCTGATGTTGCCAACAGATTAGATTTTATTTTTGAACATAATTATTTTATACTTACGAAAATAAAATATATAAATTTATCAATTTAATACAATTTTATTATATTTAGCTCAGTGTAATAATTTTCTTCTAATATGACTGATTATGATTATATAATAGATAATATGATATAATTTTTTATTTTATAAACCTTAGCTAGATATATTAATGTATAATAATATTTCAAAATAATTTCGAAATTAGTAAAATATTTAAAGATAATATTGAAAATGAAAATCTTATAAAAAAATTAAAATTTTTGTTAGAATTTAAATAAATATATTTATATTTAAAATGAAAAGATATTAAAAGATATTGTGCTTAAAGTATTTTAAAGATTTTATATATTATTAGTTTTAATAAATATATAGTAAAAATTTATAGTGATGGTCTATTTTTAAAAAAATCACACATAAATCAAGGTTATTATTTATGTCTTCAGTTTTAATATATAAGATAGGTTCAGCTATAAGGCTTTGTGTTTTTCCCTTTTTTGTGAATGATATTTATCTCAAACATAACAAAACACTAAAAGTAGATTACAAATCCGATAAACAAGAAACTATTAGTCCAAAAGCATATAAAAAAGTTTGCATGGTTCTTGGTTTTTGGATAGATATGATGATATCAATCAATGTGTTGATCGCTAAAGTTTTTAAGAACACCTTCAATGGAATATCTATCCATTGGAATTCTAAAAAAAAAATATGTATATTATATATATGTAGATATGAGATCTACTAAATAGTGTAGAATCACTATCTAAAGGTTCTAAAACAAAAAAAAATTAGAATTTTTGAATATGGATTCTACACTATTTAATAGAATCCACATTTACATACACATATATACATATTGGATTCTACACTATATATATTTTTAGAACCACAAGTCCTCAATGGATAGATATCCTATTGGAGGTGTTCTAAGACCCTCAAGAGCGAGGTTGTAGAGTTAAAAGAGTTAGACCGAGAGAGGGACAAATAAACGTAATGATTCTAATAAAGTATTCAAGCCATCAAAGAAACCGTTCAAGAAGACTAAGAAAATTACAAGCTGAAATGCTCAGAGTCAGAGATTAACGAATTCATGCAAATGTCGAGAGGTTCAGATCAGATAACCGGTTACAAGTCGAGAACATGAGAATCAAGGAGGTATCTTTGAATGTGAACCATAGATCAGTTTTAAACTTTTACTATCAACATGTGTTTCTCAGCTTAACTCAATATTCGAGGAAATTCACAACAAGAACAATTATCTGAGGAACACAAATTAAAGGTACATGATTCCTCTAATCATCATCATGAAGAAAGGTACAAAAGCATTTAAACACGTTTGCAGGTAAACAATATATATGTATTATATGTTACGATGATTTAAGGTTTGTATACAATTTGATAGAGAAAAAAGACAAGCTTAGCCAGCACTGAGAGTCGCTAAAACCTTATCCAAGAATGGATAGTTCATGCATCAAACAATAACATCTAGGATTTCACAACGTAAAAATGACAAAATTTACCACCAAACAAAACATCATCACACCACTCAACTTTAACCATCCCCGAGAGTCACAAAAACCTTGACAAGAATGGGGGAGTTCATGCATCAAAGAGTAACATCTAGAGTTTTCGTAACGAAAAGATCATCACTACGAAACAAAACATCATCACACCAATCAATTTTACCCCAAATCTCACTTCTTCCGTGGTGCTTCCTTACCAGTGAAATCACCGCACACCTGATACCTTTTTATCCTACGATCTCTAGAGAAAAACAAAACCAGTTTCCCACCGTAACTCCCAGTGTAAGTCGTCTCTGAAAATCTCCCTTCAGCCACCAATCTTTCCAAACCTTTCACCCCTACCTAACTCCTCTCCTTTGGTTTATAAGCTCTCAACACCTTCCTAAGCGTATCGTAGTAATACAACACGTCATCAACCACACATCCACCCACCCACTTATACATATTCACCGTCTTATCTGTCTCCCATTTCCCCTCCTTTGGATCGTAAACAAAGCTGTTAAGACAATCCCTCGTGTACATCTTACCAGCAATCACTCTCCCATACTTGTGTTTCTGTATTGAACACAGCCATGACCATCTTCGCTGATGTAGTCCATTGGATTTTAGTATATCCAGTTACATATATTTTCCCGTCAATGACGCCAGCAACCGAAACATCCATGGTTGCATTCATACAAAACGGAAGCTGCACCGTTTGGAATCTACAGTCAATGCTTGGAACTGGTAGATGGTGGTAACGTTTCAACATATCAAACGCATATATCTTCGAGCCGACAGTGACGAAGCTTCCAACGTGAGACACATTGGTAGGCCAAGGGATAAGGGTACCAAGCGGTGATTGCCGTTGTGTTTACGGTAGAGAATGTAAGGATTGTGATAAGTGGTTTCTCGGTCGGAAAGGACAACGTAGAGACGGTGATCCGTGGATCCTAACAATGATCGTCTCGCGTATAGCTCATGGGACGTAACTAGTGTTCGGAAATGCTTGGAGACAAGGGAGAGTGTTCGATCGTTGCACCTTCGTACACGTGATAAGATGTCAAGAATGATGTCGTCGGGAAGTGACGGAATCAGAGACGGCGGTTCTGATGATTGCTCCTTCTTTGACGACGACATTGTCAAACTATCCTACGGAGAGAAAATCACAAAACCCTAACTTATGTAGCTGTTGGAGTGAGAGAAGTGATAGAATATATGAATATTCTGTTACAATTTAGTTTTATAGTGTACTGAGATCTCTCTCTCTCTTATTGTTAGATTCTCCTTGATTCTCTGTAACAATATTGACTATATATATAGTCCGGTAAATATATCCAACCTCTCAAGGGGCATTCATCTTGTAACTTCACTAAAAGCTTCTGATTTCTCACGCTTCTTTTTCTCTTAATAGCTTTCCCGGCTGAGATAATTTATGGGTTTTGTGGTGAGCTAAAAAAAAGTTTCCCTATACATATATATATGTATTTAATTATATTATCAACGTATTTTTCTCAGCTTAGCCAAACGTTCTATGAAATTCATAACCCAAAAAACAATTATCTAAGGAACACAAATTAAGGTATGAAATCCTCAAATTCATCAGCATGAATAGAGGTGCAAAAGCATATAAACACGTTTGCAGGTAAACCATATGGATTACATGTTATGATGATTCAAGGTTTGTAATTTGATATGACAAAAACAAGCAATGAGAGTCACTAAAACCTTTGCCCAAGAATATGGATTAGTTAGTTCATCAAACAATAACATCTAGAGATTTCAGAGCGTAAAAACCACCACCAACCAAAACATCTTCACACCACTCAACTTTACCCCAAATCTCACTTCCCTGGTGCCTCCTTTCTAGCGAAATCTGCGCACACCAAATAACTATTCGACGATCTTTAGAGAAAAACAAAACCAATTTCCCACCGCAACTCCCAGTAGTGTAAACACGTGAGAATCTCGTCTCAGCCACCAATTCTTCCAAACCATTCACCACTAACCATTTCCTCTCTTTTGGGTCATAAGCTCTCAACACCTTCCCATCGAAGTAATACAATACGTCACCAACGACACACCCATCCTCCCAATTGAACCTATTCAGCATATTGTCTCTTTCCCATTTATTTTCCTTTGGCTCGTAAACATAAACAATATTTCTATTATCAGGATCCCTCGTATACATCTTACCAGCCATAACCACACACTCGTCATTCCACTTGTAACCGCTCCTCACCGTATCTGGCAGTTCCTTCTTAGGCTCCCAAACTTGTGTTTCTATATTGAACACCGCCATGACCCTCTCCAGTGGCTTATCACTATATCCATTTACATATATTTTTCCGTCCATGAAGTAAGCAAATGAAACATACATGGTTACATTCATACCAGGCAAGGTATGCATCCCCATCCTTTGGGAACTACATTTAGCACTTATCCTTTCCGGTGGAATTGAGTCAAACTTACTAAACACGTATATGCTCGAGCCCACCGCGACAAAGCTTACATTGAAAGGCGTTTTGAGAACCGAAGGGACAAGGAACAAGCGGTGACTGCCGTTTGCTTTTTCGCGGAGACTATACAACTGCTGATTACAGTTTCGTATGTTAAAGAGGGCAACGTAGAGACGGTGTTCCTTGCATCCTAACAACGATCGTCTCTCAGCTAGCTCATGCGAGGTAACAAGTGATCGGAAGTGCTTTGAGACAAGGGAGAGTGTTGGATAGTAGCAACTCTCTACACGTGCTAAGATGTCAAGGATGATGTCTTCGGGGAGTGACGGGATCAGAGACGGCGGTTCTGAAGATTTCTTCTTCTTTGACCTAATTTTGGCTGACATTCTAAAACTTCTACGAGAGAGAAAATCGGTAAACCCTAACTTAAATCAACTGGCGGAGAGAGACAGAAGAAAGGCCGAAACGTTAATTTAGTTTAAATAGCTTAATAAAAAGTGTTTAAAACCGGACCGAATGATTTATCCAGGTTTAAGTATGAACCGGTCACATAAATAGAATGGATCACTAACTTACTGAACCAATCATATGAAACAATTAGTTTATACTTATAAGATTTTATATTTGATTTATATTATATTTTAATTTAATTATGTATTATATTTACTAACACTAGTTTTAATTAATAGATTAAAAACATATTGAATTAGATTATTGAACCAAGTTTAACCTGACTGAACTATATTAAACTTTGATCTTAAAAACATTAATAAAACCGATATAAACCGAACAAACAAGTTTTCTCTCTCTACGATATCGAACCGGCGTTCACACCAAACGAAAACCGCTAAAACCCTAAACTCCTACACCGTCTTCGCCTCTGAAAATCTCTTCTGTGTAGAGAGAGAAGATGAGAGTGAAGAGGCAGAAGAAGAACAGGAGAACAGTGAGATTCTTCACCGTCTGTTTCGGTTTCCGACAACCTTTCAAAGTCCTTTGCGACGGCACTTTCGTCCACCACCTCGTTTCTAAAGAGATCACTCCCGCTGACACTGTTGTCTCCGAGCTTCTCGGAGGTCCCGTCAAGCTCTTCACCACGAGGTGTGTGCTTGCGGAGTTGCAGAAGCTGGGTAAAGATTACTCGGAGTCTCTCGAAGCTGCTCAGATGCTTAGCACAGCAACGTAAGCTTTCCGTTTTCTCAGTGTTCTTACAGTGTTGTAGTTTATAGTGTCCTAAGATAGAGAGAGAGGTCTCAAGACTGTTATGTCATGAACCTGTTAGTTTTGTATATAACGTTTATGATGAGCTTAGTAATGTAAAGAAAGTTATGATTAAATCTAATATTGTAAACATGGATTCTGTATCATGTGTATGTGTAGTTGATATGTTTTAATTGATATTGTGAGATTTAATTATGTATTTGAAAGTTAGATTTTTATTTTCATTTTTATTTGTGCCACACCTGGACGTTGTATAATGTTGTATATGAAATTTGATTTGTTTTAGTATTGAGTTAATAGATGTGAGCACGATGAGGCAAAACCAGCAGATGAGTGTTTATCAGAGGTACTCGGAGTCAAGAACTCAGAGCATTTCTTTCTTGGTACTCAGGATTACGAGTTTAGGAAAAAGCTTCAGCAGGTTTGTTTGATGAGCTAAGAAGAGTACTCTTGTTTGTTTTAGAGGATAGATTTATCTGTGAGGAGTTTTTTGATTAATATAATCCGTTTTTTTTTTGTGAATTTATTTCAGGAGTGTATCGTTCCACTTTTGTATGGTCTAAATAACAGTCTACAGATCGATCAACCTTCTGATTTCCAAAGGGAGACAGCCAAAGACTCTGAAAGAAAGAGGTTAACTATGACTGATGTGGAGAAAAAGATGTTGGAGAAACAGACTGCGAGAATTTTAGCTTCTAGTAGAGGAGAAGGAGTAGTTGAAGACGAACAATGGGAAGCGTCTCGAGTGTTCAGTACAAGAAATGGACTCGGTGTGAAAGATAGACCTCAGTTCAAGCGAAACAGAGCAAAGGTAACGTTGAAACACTCCACTTTCTTAATATTTTAGTCGTTTTTGATTAGTAACAAAACAGTTGATATGTATTTCAGTGTGTTGTGTGTTAAGTCTCATAGGTTAGGTGTACTTACATTGTTGTCACTTGTCACAAAACTCTGCAGGGACCAAACCCACTTTCATGCGTGAAGAAAAAGAAGGCCAACGATACCAAGAGAACCCTATCGACATCCAAAGCTGTCCCTAAGTCTGGTGGACAAGAGGTTAGATAATTTAAGGGATTTAGCAGTTTTTACTTGGTGTCACTAAGTTGTTCCAATGGTTAATAACTCGGTTTTTTCTGCAGGAAAAGAATGGTGAAAGCGGTTCAAGAAAAAGGACAAGAAAACGATCAAAAAAAGGAAAATCTGGTTAGGTGATAAACCGCTGAAAACAGTTGTTTCTAGTCCTGTATTAACATATACCAAAACATTTAACACCTTTTCTCGGATCGTTATTTTTTTGTACTGCACTCCATAGACATTTCAATAGAGACAGACCAGCAAGAAGATCATTATAGACAGAACAAGAAGCTGAAACGTTTAAGTTTTTATTACGAAAGAATAAACTGCTCCAAAAATATGGAAATAATAATAGAATCTTTCCTTCCCTGAAACAGAGTACAACAAAGCCACTAGAAGTTTTTTTTCTTCTATAAATATAATAACCAGCAGAAATCACTGACTTGATTCCATTATAAATAATGATGAAGTTATAGATGGCATATATGTATGTTCCATCGAATTTACTTGAGGATTTGGCTACCATAATCATCATTGAACTTGTCATACAGATGGGCATGCAGATGAGCTGATGGTCGAGTGTTGCTCAAAGCTCTGTCAATGTCTTCTGGTAGGATAGGTCCCACTTTTGGCAACTCTGTAACCCCCAAACACACAATAACAAGAAAATTGAAGATGTTAAAATGTTTTTCTTCTTGAAACTAATGCTAATGATGGAGTCTATTCACAAGAAAATTTTACCTTCTTCAGGCACAATCTCTTCTGTGTCTTCCAATGCAGCCAATGTACGTCTCAATGGTTGCATTGCAGCTTCCTTGCATAGTATCCTAATGTCTGAGCCAGAGTAGCCCTCTGATTTCTCAACCAGCACATCATGAGGCAATGGCTCATCACCTGGTTGTGACGGCAAGAGCATCTCAAACATTCCTCTTCTTGCTTCTGGATCCGGTAAAGGTACAAGAATCTAGAGATTTCACTAGCTTTAAGTCCAAAACAAAAAAGGAAGAAACATATAATAATATTAAGCAACTTTCTGTTCAATTAAAAAAAGGATACTCTCTTCTCTAGACGCCTGAGCATAGCTGCATCAAGCTCCCATGGGAGATTTGTTGCAGCTAAAACAAATACAAGCTCATTTGTTTTCTGTAACCCATCCATCTGCAAGTTTTGATCCCATTAGATTTGTTACTAATGGTCTACCAAGATGATGAAGATTATGATCTTTGTGAGAATTGTTTACCTGAATGAGGAGTTCGGTTTTGAGACGCCTACTTGCTTCATGTTCACTGCGTCCTTCACCACCACGCTGACTTATAATAGCGTCTATTTCATCTAGAAATATAGTTGAAGGAGCATGATGCCTAGCTAGATCGAACAGGACTCTAATCAACTTCTCAGAATCACCTGAAATAATACATCCAAAAACAAGGCTTTCAAGTGAACAAAGAGTGCAATGTGTTTTTTCATGGTTCAGAGTAAGTATAGGTGTAAAAAGAGTTCACCTCTCCATTTGCTAACAACAGATGATGCTGAGATGTTGAAGAATGTTGTGTTGCACTCTGTAGCAACAGCCTTTGCAAGCATTGTCTGCATAACACAAACAAGACTTGTTATGCAAGAAAAATAGAACATAAGAGGAATAACATGTTTTGAGTTAGAATTATTCATACCTTTCCGGTACCAGGTGGACCGAAAAGAAGAATCCCTTTCCATGGAGATAGTAGACCATTAAAGTACCTGAAACATTCACAAGTTGTGATCATTAAAGCACCAAACATAAGCCGAAAGTTATCTGACATTGGCTTTAAGACAGCAAAAAGAAGAAGCATACGAGGGGTATTTGATAGGCATCACCACAGCTTCTTTGAGCAACCTCTTGGCGTTCTCTAAACCCTTGATGCTTTCCCACTTCACATTTGGGTTGCCACGGATGATATCCCTGAAAAACAAGGATTCACACAAACCATGAAACACACGCACTAATCCATCACAAGGCAAGAAGTACACAAAATGACTTGCCTGCTCAGACTCTCAGCGAGAGCACGAGTTTCTGCAGATTCAAAAGGTGGGAACATTGACTTTTTTCTGCAGAAAGAAACATTTAAAGGCAACAGTTAATGCTTATGCTAACCATTCCTTAGATACCAAACACTATGCCACAAGGAAGAAAAGCAAAAGGGAAACCAAAGATCTTACGGCTTCTCACGGATCCCATTGGCCAAGCCAGTGTTACCCTCCTGCAATCATCACAAAGCCCAAAACTTTAAGTCATCTTTAGGACAACAGAACACAACAGACATTACTTCTCTAAGCACTTCACAACGATTAATTACAAGAAGCAATGAACATGAAATCTCTCTAAAGCTTTAAGAAAAGGCAAAAAAAAAGAAAGTGACCTGAGCTGGATTGGTGACGACTTGGGAACCTTCTTCTTCCTTGTTGCTGGATGATCCATCTTCTGGCTTTGATTCTTGGGGCTCTTCAGGCAGCTTCTTCCTCCCAAACTTGGCATCATAAAACGTTTTAAATTCCTAATAAATACATACATTTTTTTTCTTGAAAAAAATTGATTAATCCTCAAAGCTCACGCATTTGATTGTAGAGAAATCGAAACAGGACCCTTGTTGACTCACTAGGCTACAACACATTTCATCTAAATCTAAAAACTTCCTCGGTTTCTCCGGTAATATCCAAAAAAAAAAAAAAAGATTGGTCTTTATCTAAAAAAGTCTATAGCTACATTAAAGAGTTTGACTTCGATTTTTACTACAAATATTCAGTGATCTTTTTATGTCCTTGTCCTAAAAGTAAGGAATGCGAGAAAACAGAGTCTTAGAGGTTTACCAGAAAGCTCCAGCGGGTGAGAGAAGGCTCATCGGTCGCCATCGTTGATGGATCTCAAAGCTCAAGAGGAGGAGAAGCAAAGAGAGAAGACCAGAGAAGAAGACAGGAAGAGATGTGGTCTCTCTCTATCTATCTCTCTTATTGTCCGATCGATGTGGAGAGTTGAACAAACAGCTCTAGCTACCATTACATCAGCAGCATCAAGCCAAGCACGTGATTCACAGTTGGACACTAGTTTTTAAATTATTTATGTATATTCAACAAATATAAATCTGTAATTATTATTTATTAAAATCACTAAAGCATTATATTTTTCCAAATTATAGATTTTGTTTTGAAAAATATAATATGATAATAATTAAAAAGTTTTTATTACAAACATAACACACAAATGTCAAAGTATCAAAATACATTTGATTAAAGAAGTAAAATAATTATGTTTATATGATTAATTAATCTAAAATTGAGGTTTAGATTTTAAGGGTGTTGTGGACTTGTGGGTTAGAGCTTAGAATAAAGAAAACTTTTTTAAGATAATAATTTAAAAATTATTTAAAAAAATATTGAGGTTTCAAGACAAACTTCAAAAAAGAAGTTTTGAAAAAAAAAACATATTTCAGAAAAGAAGGTTCGAAAAATTATTTCAAAAGAAAAAAAATAAAAGTTTTGAATTAAAATGGTTTTTTCATCCAGAAGTTGATTTATTTAAATATTCATTTATTGAATTATTTTGGCAAAATATTTATTTATAGATGATAGAAGAGAATATTAATTTATATTTAGAAATCTATAGATTAATGGTACAAATGTCTTTTGTATTTAATAAAATTTATTTTGGTCATTTTTATGTTCTTATTATAAAAAAATCTCCTAAAATTTTCGAAAAAGGTGTTTTATTTAGTTTTTAGGAGATTTGTGATGACAACCACACAAAAATATTAAGCTGTCCTTTAAAATAAAACATGAAAATGACCGAGGTAGGGCACACTTAAGACGTGCTTGCTAGTGTAGTGATTGCCTCGCCAAACAACGATACCAATGCAATACGCATGTAATGAAATCAACAACGTAATAAAATCCACATACTGTATTTTTATCTCATTGTCCTGATAAACAACAGAAGTGTCGTCGAAAATAATTTTTTGCTTTCAGATATAGGATTTGAAGCGAGATAAAAGGTGTGACTGTAAGTCACTGATAGCGTTAATGTTCTCGCTAAAAATATGTTTCAGCTCATAAACTTACCAATCAGGTGGAAAAAACTTTAATTATTAATTTATTGTTTTACTCTAATTACTATTCAAATGAAGGTAAAACACGTCGTATTTTACTCTTTGGTTTTGAAGTGGGATATCAGTTACACTACTTTTTATAGTTTATTATTCATTTATATATTTCATTTACTCTACAACATTTACTCCAAATTACTCCATTTTTATTACTTTCATTTACTCTAGAATTTGCCAATCACACTCAAAATGCTTTTCGACCCACAAAATGATGTCTAGTTAGGCTTGTGTATTTGGGCCTCAGCAAAAGAAACAAAGAAAGGCTTTTATGTTGGTATGAAAACAAAAATGTCATGTCATCTAAGGACTGAGAAAATAAGAAAGAACAATTTAAAAGTCAATTAGAAAACAATCATCACTCTTTTCGGTAAATATTTTAGATGAAACTACACAAGAATAATAGGAGTTATACACTCACTGTTTATTCTTTTTATGAATAAACAAACAAAATTAGAAGAAAAAAAATTAAATTATGACAAAAATACAAAAAAACTAGAATTCTCGGAAAAGCTCATTTCTTTTTCTATTTTGCTTTTCTTGTTAAGACATATAAACTGAAATATATTATTTATTTAAAATAAGATAAAAATAAAATAAAAATATGTATGAAAAATAGGTTAACCATTGGATAGAGAATATGGAAGTTATTTCTCAAAGAAACTAAGCCTATAATCACCAAGCTTAGTCTTGTAACAATATGACTTGTATTGAGACCAAGTAAGCTCTTTATAAAGCCGTTCCTCTTGCTTTGGGACAAGACATGACAATGGTGCAATCTTCTCGGTCAACGGAGGACCTGCGAAGTAGATCATCGATAATCTTGATCTCTTTGTATTTGTCAGCACTCTGTGTTTCACACTCTTGAATTTTCCGTTAGTCATCACCTGCAGTTGTCAAGATATAACCGCCAATGTGTGATTTCTTAAGAAAACAATAAGATGGTGTTAATTAGTTTCAAAAAATACGAAATATTAACATAAAAATTTACACGGATACTTTTCATGTTAAAGTGTTTTTAACTAATATCCTCTTAACAAGTGTCTTATTTAAAAGAAATACAAACGTAACCGTGAAATGGTGTTTTTTTTTTTATGAAAAATATTAACATATGTAAATTTGCTTTAGTTTAGATATTTTCTTAATAGGAAATTTTAACACAATTTTATATTTGATAAAATATTCATATAGAAATAAGTTAATAAATTAAAATATATGTATAAACTTAGATATAAAATTTCATATTTTTTTAACTTTTAATATGTGAAATTCTCTAAGTTATAAAATTTGACAATAAAATAATTTAAAAGATGGAATATGTAGAAGCATTAGAAAACCAAAAAAGGATACCTGAAGAGCATCTCCGACGCTAACGAAGAAAGAAGAGTGATCAGGTGGAACAGAAACCCAACTCCCATCTTTCAAACAGATTTGTAAACCTTCAGTGTCGTTTGATCTGAGCACTGACACTAACTGTGGATCCGTGTGCTCACCAAACCCGATCTCCTCCTTGTCCGGAGTCTCTTCTTCTTTCTCGGGGTAATGGTTCATCCTCAGACAAGAATCACTCTCTTCCACCTTCACCAGTTTGCTCAGCTTCTCCTTTGGCTCTATACTTAGCTCTTCCTCTACCATCTCCAGAACCTTGCTCGCCATTCCCTTCATCTCCTGCATGTACTCTTCCACCACCTCTCTGTCTCAATTCAAATTACATTTTAACGTTAAAAGACATGACACAATTCTGTATTGAATTCATGTTTGACATGTAGAAATTCTAGAGCTTGTATCATGTAGGAATATCTAGAGGATCCATGTTGTTAATGTTATTATTGTGGATACATCTTGTAATTATGATAATATATTCTGTTGATTAGATGAGATTTTATTGTTTTTATAATTACAATGGTTACCTTACATACACTTATAATTTTTTTTAAACGTAATCATATTATGTGGCATTTTAGTCTTTAAACTTTGTTTTATTATAAGCTTCATTTTGTATTGTCAATGCCCATATTAAAATATATGTTTCTCAGTTTTTACTTCGATTTTTATTTTATAATTAACAAAATGAAACCAAAAAGGTATGATGGAGTAATTGAGAGAATATATTGTCATAATTATAAATATACTCACAATATTATTATTAATAAAATGGATCTTATATATCTTTTAAAAGATCTTAGAATTTAATAGCTAAATTTTTGTGAATAGGTTTTGGTTTTACCTGAAAAGTACAGGGGCTTGTTGGAAAACCGCGGTGGTTTTGGTAAACGAGAGATGATGATTAGCATTGAGGAGAATATACTCTAACCAGCCCATGTCACCACTGGATCCGATCCTTTTAGAACCGTACCCAAACGGGTCAGGTGGACCCGCTTTTTCTTTGAGAGATTGAGACAAAGCAAAGAACTTGTTGGCCTCTTCCTCCAACTGCGTTAAAAGATCGTGTCCGACCCCATGGTTGATGACTTTGAAGAACCCCAACTCCTCGCAAGCCTTCACGACATGTGTTTTGGCATCTGGGTCGGTTAAGTCTATAACCGGGACTGGAACCGGACTCGGTTTGCACTTTGGGTTAACATTGACGTCGCTGTTAAAAGTGACTGGCTGTAACAAAACTACCATTGTTTGTTTTTTTTTGTCTTTTCACGAGAAGTTATCTAAAGAATAAAAATACTTGAAGTGATGAACTTTGAAAGATAGAGAACTACTTGGTGAAAAGGTTGTTTGCTTAGCTTTATTTATAGTTGCTTGTATGTAGCGCCGAGGTTTTTCTATACCCTATTATTAAATTGCTGGTTTTGGATATTTAATTCTTTTTCAATTTTTGTTAATGCAAATTTTATTCCTTTTGGTGCTGATTTTATTCTAAAATATAATCAGAGTATCTTTTTATCTTCATTCAATTTTTGGAAACAATATCTTTATTTGTTAGAAAATCAATGGGTTTTTGAAATGAATAAGTTCTGGTTAAAGTGAATGGTAACTATGAGGTGGATGTATTTTTGTGATAATTTAAAAAATCAAATAAATCCAACTTGATGAATAAATCAAAATCATAAAAAGATTAAAGACTATAATTTTTGATCGTAGTATACATCAATTTTATCTAATGGTTTTATTTGGAATTCATTTTAATATGAAAATGAGGTTGAACTATATATCAAATCATATAATAAGTATTGTACTTTGAAAGCTATATCTTTGGTTTTTGATTGGAAAATGAAAATGTTTGAAAATAAGATATATCGAGAATGTAAAATGTTGTTATAACAACAATAACAAATCAAATTAATTGTTTGCTCCTCTTTGGTATTTTTCTACTGCTTTAATTTTGATGTTGAATAGTGGTTTTCTACATATCCTTTTTCTTAAAGGATGAATTTGAAAAGAATAAAAAATATATATACAAATTCGAAAATTGTTTTATTTATGAACTTGAAAAACTAAAAAAGATAAAATCGTAACATTCTTAAAATACGTCAGTAATTAAGCACGTGCTCATGTTACAAGGCTTTTTTTAAACATTGGCTTATAGCCTAATAAAAAATTTGAAAAACTATCTTCTACACAAAATATATTATAATTTTGAGGGAATTTTATATTTTGAGACTTAAAAATATTTTCATATTAGTTGCTAACATTACTCTTATGTATCAATTTAAGCAAAAAGTTAAATATTAAAGTTGACAAAAAAGGTGTTGGCCACGTTTGTTTAGAGTTGGAGGTCGTAGCAAATTAGCATTGCATTTTCTAATGCATGTTTTTCCTTTAAAAAAGCAAAAGCATATTGGGTTCCAGTCTATCTAGTTTGACTAGTTGTACCAAGATCATAAATTTGATATATGGTTTTTCTTTTTCTTTTTTTTTTTTGTCGATGCCCACATTTTTTTTATATATGGACATGAAAATTAAATTTAATAATGTAAATACTAAACAGTTAGTGACCTATGTACAGAGGGAGGCCAAAAGCAGCTGTATAAGAAAAACAAAAGAAGTCAAGCAACACCAGATTTAAATTTATTATTTGGTGATTTTGTGAAATAAGTAAGAAGAAACTGTTGATCAAAAAAAAACCAAGAAAAAACTATAATTAGATTTTAAGAGAAAAGATAGAGAGAGATAGGAAGAAAAAGTAGGAGAAAAAGAGATTTTGGATAGTTGTTAAACATCATATCATTATTTTAATATTTAATTTTTTGCTTAAATTTGACAAAAAAAAGTGTACTTTTTTTTAAAAGATCGTCTGTTTAGAGTATCATTATAGCAGGTTTCGTAGGATGGGTTTCTTAAGGAAATATAAGAAACTGTTTCTTAATTTTTAACTGAAAAGTTAAGAAACAGTTTCTGAAAGTAATACTTTAAGAAATTATTTCTTAATTTTTTAGTTAAAAGTTAAGAAATAATTTATTTTATATAATGATGCTCTTAGAGTTGGAGATCTGACCTATGAGTATGTAAATATTTTTTTTTTTTTTTTTTTGGGCAACAATATATCCTTTTTTTACTTTGGAATGAGTTTTGTAGATATTCGATGTGTGACTTTAATAGAAGAATTGGGATTCGTTCAATCGACGATTTGTTTTTGGATTCTGGCTGTGATCCCATATTGACACGTGTGACATGAACGATCAACGAAAACTGAACATTTAAACTTCACGTGGCTGTGATTGTGTGCAGTGTGCACAACCTACTTTTTTGTGCCTACGTACGTAGCACGTACGAATGCGTGTTTCTATTAATAGCATGATTGTCTTTATATATGTAGACACTATATTTATGTTGGATTCATGGGGGAAGCATTATTTAGCCCTCACCATTTTCGTAGATACCCATATGATTTAACGCTAGAATTTATCTATCGGCGGTGCAACGCATATATCTTGGAAATAAATATATGTTCTGTATGCGTACGTAGTTTGCAGGAAAGAACCTTTCTGTGTAACTTAGAAAATAACATTTTTCATTTTTCGTTATATGGATCGATAAACATGTTCTTAAAGATATTTTAGTATAGGAATTACATTCATGTCTAAGTACATGTACTTCATGTGCAACTTGTCTAGTTGATGACCGAGTGTGCTCACTATTTTCAAGAATCTTTCACCGATTCACGCCGAAGCTTTGTGACACATTTTTGGTTAGTTATAAAGTATTAACAAACTGTGCTGTAAATTTTGTTGGAGAGTTTTAAATATATAAACATGTCATATATAAAATGTACATAAAACGTAATTACGATATACCTGAAATACTCCCTCTGTTTTTAAATAAGTGTCATTTTGACTCTTTGCACATAAATTAAGAAAATTGTATAATAGACTAATATATCCATATTTAATGTATGTTTAACTAAATGATAATAATTTAAGTAAAATACTATTGGTTATTCAAAAGAGTAAAAAATAGATTTAATGTACAAAATTACATTGGGATTGTAGAAGGACACTTTTTTTGAAACAAAATTAAAAGGTTAAAGTGACACTTATTTAGAAACAGAGGGAGTATATAATATTATACTTTCTTTGTTTCACTATAAGTGTCGTTTTAGGTTCATGCACACGGATTAAAGAAACCATTAATTTTACATATTTTCCATATAAAATCACAATTACCTATACACCTAACCATATATCAACCAATAGAAAAATAGACTGCAAAATAAAGTTAATAAAATTTTGCATTGAAAATCAAAAACGACATTTATTTTGTAACGAAAAAAATTCTATAAAACGACACTTAATATGAAACGGAGGGAATACCATATATTTATATATACTAATATATATATATATATATATATAGACATAAACTTTAATAAGTCCATGGACTTATTTATCAGACAAGAACGCTGAAATAAAGTTTCTAAAAGCAAGATTAGGTTATATATACATGTGTGCTCTTTGTTACTATATAATAAGAAATATATATTTCCTCCGTTTCATATTAAATGTCGTTGTAGACAATTTTTTTGCGTTACAAAATAAGTGTCGTTTTCGGTTTTTAATACAAAATTTATTAATTTTATTATGTAATTTATTTTTCTATTGGTTAAAATATGGTTATGTATATAGGTAACTGTGTTTTTATATAGAAAATATGTAAAATTAATTATTTCCTTAATCCGCATGCACAGCTGTAAAATGACACTTATAATAATAAAACAGAGAAAGTATATGGTAAACACAATTATTAAAGGTACGACATTAACTTTCTAATTTTACTGGATGTCCCAAAGAAACGAAATTTTGAAATCCACAATTAGCCGCAGGGGTGAAATGTTTTTTCTTAGGGACGACAATAATTTTTTTAATAATCGATCCAAAAGTATTAATCACATCTTTCCAATATTAAAATGCCGTTATCACTCTTCGAAACTGAAAGGGTCAAATCCTTCGCCGATGGATTTTCTGAATTCTTTCCAATACTTCTTAGCTTCTGTATCTCTGTCTAGCATTGTGTATATAATTGCCTGTACGTGAAACACCATTAGTTTTAACTTTTAAACAACTAGCACTACGAAAATTTGGCTAATGAATATATACATAAACATATTTATATCATGTTGATGAACCTTATAAAGAGGGATCCGAATATCAGAGATGAGGGCATTCTCATCATTTAAACAACTATACTCAGCAGCTTCGTGATACCTTTCCTGTAATGTCGACGAAAAATACTAAACATTAATCATTTAATGTTTAAAACATGAAATGCCAATTCATAGTAATATGAAGAAATTAGAGTTGCATGCATATAGAAATTATATGAAAATAGAAATTAATAAAATATTCACCAGCAATATTAGAATTTCAACTAAAGCCATCTGCACGTTGAAGGCGGCCTCAGGCTCGTTTTTGTATCGCATGTTTGCGTCGCGAAGGAGCTGCACCGCCTCCTCACATTTTCCTTCCTTCATCCTCCGCACCGTCTCCATCTATATATATTTTAAAATTATTAAAAAAAATTATTTCTTTTTTAAATTAATTGATCTTGTGGCTATTAAAAAATGTTATAGGCTTGTAGCTCTCGAACATTCTGTAAGAAAGGGTATTTAGAGATTTTTGGGGGTTCTCAAGCTTATAAATTATTAGTGTATGTACGTATTAAGCGTTTAACTTATTGGTTTCTTAGTATTTTGCATGATGTTTATGTAAACTCTTTGAAGTGAAAAAAAAAACAAATATTTCAAAACAATTCAGACCACGTCAAGGTGGTAAAACTCACAATGTGTATCCATAATTATTTGTTTTAGTATATGAATATTTATAATATGGATATAGAGACCAGACTGAAATAAGACAAACTGTAATTTAAATAAAACGTATATTGAACTACTTTTTGTTTATTTTTGTTTGTTAGAGATGATTTGTATTAACCGAATAATCCTTTTTGAGTTTATAAGTTTGTAAAGTGTACCTTGATGGAATCAGTATCTTCCTTCGAAGGCAACGAAGGGAGTTTTTGAAGATTGAATGGTCTTTGAGAAGGAATGGGTTTAGCCGAAGCGAGCATTGAGCTCACTTCAAATAGAGACTGTAATGCGTACTTAGCCGGCAAAGGATACATCCCTGAAGACTCTGATACAGCTGCGGTTGGCTTCCCGGTTATAATCATGTCGGCGGCGCTTGGACGCACAGCTGCGGCGGCAGAATAGTTCATATTCTTTATCTTAAAGCCAAAAATACTTAAGGCACAAGCAAGTGCAAGGGATGCTCCCGCTGCTATTTTTAACGGCTTAAAGAGTTTTTTATCATCTTGAGAATCACTTTCGCTATTTGATTTGGCCATAGTGATTGTTGATCTGATGAACAGACGGTTGCTTTGACTGCCATTAGAGAGGAAACCAAGAAAAGAGGTTTGAGATCCAAGAGTTGGTTTATTTGTGGAGGTGGAATTAGAGAAAGGAAGTGTGAGTTTCTGTGTATGGCCTAGAAGAAATGTAGAAGCCATTTTCTTCTTATGAATTGAGAAAAGAATTAAAATGAAAATTTATTGCATTGGTTAATCTTGTGTTAGAGATTGGTTCTTTAAATTTTTGTTTGTGTTAATTTACCTACGTGCATAGAAGATGTGAGAGATTCAAGGTTTGTGAAGGAAAGCATCAATTTGTTACTTCAGATAGAAGTAACTTCAGTTTGACATAAAGGCATCAAAGAATGTTTGCTGAAAAAGTATAGGCACAGTTTTCTAATTGATTTACTTTTTTTGGTATTCTTTCTTTTTGAAATTGTAACAAATCTAGAACATTATTGTATGTTCAATTTAGGGAATTAGGAATAAGAAAATATTATTCTTTCCAACGTTTTGGAAACTTAGAATGATGCTTTCCTCTTCCATTTGCAATCCATTTTTCTTTGTGCATAAAAGAACCTTTCAAGAAATGAAACATTTATAAATATACTGACATTCATAACAAAAAAAAAAAAAAAAAATCAGACAAACAAATATTTTAGTTTAAGTATATGGTGGATCGGCCGTCCAAGAACAAGTTCACCATGAAAACAAAGTATGGAGCAGCTGTTGCACCAGTCTTTCTCCTTGCTGGTGCCTATGTCGCTTGGAACTACATAAATCATCGTTTATGGAGAAAGAAGGACGACAACAATGGTCGAGATATCAGAAATAAGAACCGTAAAAGCCCTGTAGAGCAACGAAAAGACGATAAAAGCATTAGTAAGGAGGCTTCTTTAGCAAGACGTGGAAAGGATCAGAAAACCCTCTCAAGATCAGTCTCAATGGGAGCTATTCGAGGAGGAAAAGTGGCACTGCAGAGATTGCTTGACTTGCACTCATATCATCTTGATACTTCTTCCCTTGTGAATGCTGAGATTGAATTTGAATCTTTGCTTTCCAAGGAGAAGCCGGATTTCGGGTTGCTTCAGGTTGTTTCCATATACAAAATCTATTTCCCTTTTAGGATTGAAATTTGAAGTTGTTAGAAGTCTATTTTCTTCCTTTTGTAGAGAGACATTGTGAAGATGGAAATGAGTGGAAAAGAAGCAAAAGGAGTTGAGATATTGAAGAAAGCATTGGAGAAAGCAAAAGAAGAAGAAAGAGGTCATGAGACTTATGAGATTGAGATGTTGCTTGTGGAGATGTTGATCTACATGGTTTGCTCTTTAAATTCATTTCTCAGATATGTGATGATTTTCAACATATCTTTATAAAAAAATGCATAATTTCTACATAATAAAACAGGGAAACATTGAAGAGGCTTCAAAATGTAAGTGTTTAGAGGATGATTTCATAACAGATGCAAGGCGTCCTCTCTACCAGGCAAGTCATATAGTAATCCTTAACTATACTTTAGAATTCCATTTATCATTTTATTAGTTTACGCTTAGTGTCAAATGTATTGTATATCTCAGACTATAGTATATTACTTTCGTGGAGATCCTGAGAAGCAAGTCGAGGAGACATTCAACAGGTTCAAAGAGATTCAGATGGGTCTACAATGGCCTGGAAGCTCAGAGGAATGTGAGACTCATGAAATCACATTCGATGAGTTCAAGAAAGTAATGGAGTCTCTCAAACTAGAAATTGAAGACAGCAAAAAAAGACAAATCGTTAACTCGACTCCACGTGAGACAAAATAAAATTGACATGGAAGATATGTTTCAATAGTTTCAAGAAATGCTGTTGTTTTCCAGGAATTAATAATAAAACATTTGGTACATTACTCTTGAGAAAAATACATCAACTTATAAGAAATAGAACAATCTAATAGATGTCATTTTCTACCGCTTTCTTCAATATCAAGTATATTTATCAGTAGGAAGACACAAATGAACATCATTTTGCCAACTAAATCTACTGATGCTTAATATTTTTTAACCTGATCAGAATATTAATCACACAGTTTCGTAAAATGAGTTCATAAGAAGAACAATGAGAGATTTATTGATTTATTTATGGAAGTTTTTTTTGGTCCACTATTTTAATTAGTAATTTTACATTATAAAATTGGAGGTTCCAATCCCAAAAATATGATTATTTTTAGTTATATAAATATGTAAATTGATAGAAAATAAAATACAATAAATCTTATAAAGTAACTAGAACTGTTAAACAAATATATTTAAAAAAAACAGCTCAATATAACTGAAATAAAATCATCATTATAAGAAATATAGAATAATCGATTACAAAATCGTTGACTAAATCATTTTTCATAACTTGAAATATTTAATTAAAAGAGTAGGTGAAGCTTCTCAGCCAGCTAGGTGTTTAATTGCTCGTTTAGACAAATTGATCAGGAATAGAATTACCTCTATGCAAAGGAAACTTGGTAGGAAGTTTGAGAGAACCATGGCTCTTTGGTTTGAAAGAAGATAAGTTTGGATGGTTTGGCGTAAGAAGGTTTTTGCGGATGGTTTGGAGAGTTGGTGTGGTTTTCGCGTCATTTGGCCATTCTTTAGCTGATTTCTTCTATACACTCCTCTGATCATATGATGATTAATTTTTTTTACTTATCAAAGGTTTGTTCCAAAAAGGTTTATTTTGATGAGGTTTTAATGAGGATCATCTTATGATCCTTCCAAATTTGAGTTGTCTCTTATGGTTAAATTTGAGGAGGGATGTTGTGATGGATGTTGGAGTTTATGATTTAGTTATTTTGGAAATGTTTATTAAATCTTTTGTTTTGTTTAAATAAATGTAAAATTCTTTTAGAAAAAAACACTGAGGAAAAGTTGTTACTCCAAATAAAAAAAGTTGTTACTTGGGATTTTGAATTTTTTTTTTTTCAAACCAAAAAGAAAAGACTTTATCATTCAGAACAACAGGCCCAATTAAGCCCAAATTAAACAAATCCAAAAACCATTTGCAGGAAGAAGCAACGGTTTTGAATCAATACGATCATCATACAAGGACTGAGCTATAGCTAAGCTAAACCCTAAATCCAATTCCACGACGCCAATTCTCCAGAAACCAATGGCCAATCTCCGAGGAGTCCTAACCAACGTATCTTCCTACTGTCAACGCTCCTTCTCTCAATCGCATCTCCTATGTCGACCACCGATCAAAACTCCGACCAATCTCAATCAAACCCAATCCAGACACATCTCAACAACACTTACAAAACAAGCAACCTCGAAACACAGCGGCACGGAGCAAGGCGTGAAACGAAACAGCGCAGATCACAGACGTAGACTGCTCGCGGCGAGATTCGAGCTCAGAAGGAAGCTCTACAAAGCGTTTTGCAAGGATCCGGAGCTTCCTAGCGAAATGAGAGAGAAGAATCGTTATAAGCTGTCGAAGTTACCGAGGAACAGTGCGTTTACGAGGATAAGGAATAGGTGTGTGTTTACTGGTCGGTCTAGGTCGGTTACGGAGCTGTTTCGGATGTCGAGGATTTGTTTTCGTGGGTTAGCGAATAAAGGGGAGTTGATGGGTGTTAAGAAATCTTCTTGGTAAAGGGCTTTGTGAAGGAAGTGAAATGAATCACATAAGTAAGTGTAGCTTTGAGTTTTATTTTTATTGTTTCTGTGTAATATTTTGTTATGTTTGATGAATAGTCTTTTGTTTGTAGGGAAGCAAGGAATCAAACAGCTGTTGTTTTATTTTGGTGTAATGATTCATTACAAAACGTTAGTTTTGCTTGTAACACAAGTTGCATGTTCCTTTGTTTGATGATCTCGTTCAGGATTTTATGGAAGTTATTTTTCTTAGCGATTATTTTTGAATAAGATAAAAGAAACACCATCACAGTTTGTGAAATCTTGTTTTGCATTGCAATTGTTCTCTGTTTTATGATCTTGTTAATGATTGTGAAGTTATTTCATTCTCAGTGAATTAAGTATCATGTAAAAATACTCAAGTTAAAAGGTGAAAATATTGATGTTGAAGTAATTCTGAGCCAGTTTCCTTATGATGTACCGTTTGTTTAGTCAAAATAGTTTAGTAGAAGAGGATAACAACTAGCTAAAACCCTACAGAATAGTTCATATGAAGTTTACCCACTTAGTGTATGCTTAAGCAAAATCTGGAACACTTTAAGCTGTTCTATTGTAAAGGGAAGAACGTAATCATCTTAGCTGCCCAAGTTTCTTAGGGTATATAACTAAAACATAAGACACCAAAGGGTTATCACCTTCTACAATTTACCCAACTGAATGAAAAATCTCTTTGAAAGCATTTCGTGTCACCCTTCAAATGCCTCAGCGTCTGAAAAAAATAACAGCTGCAGAAAAGTTTTGATGAACGCCCTTAAACCAAGAATAGCATCGACGCTCATCCATCTGGAGTAAGGCTTATGAGAGATAATCCTGCTCACCTTTCCTTAGCAGTGGCCACCTTTCTGCTAAGGAACTATCCGGTTCTGACAATAACTAGAGATAATGTTTCAGAATATACTCCTCAGTATCTAAAAGATGTGGTAACGGTGATTGCCTACTTTTTCATTTTTTCTTGTTCATCGAATTTTACGAAAAAGGAAATGTGGTTATTGGTCCATATTTAATAAATGAATCTATGAGATAAGCAAGGTAAGCCACTATCACGTAGCACCAATGACTACGACCACCACGCGGTTTGTGATCAAGAGGGTCCCAAACTGGCTACCTTTCTCGATCTAATCTTTTGGACACATTCTTTAAAATCTCAATTGCATTTTTTATTTAGGTATAAAATTAAAGAAAAAAAAAGAATAGAACAAAAAGAACAGCTGGGAGGATTTAGGATAAAAGGACACTAGACACTTCCCTGCTTTTGCTCACACTGCCCCAAAAAAACTCACTGAAACACTTTGACTGTTCAGAGAGAGGTAGACATGGTGCTTTACAACGAAGATAGTCGCAGCAAATCAGTTTCCACTCTAATACTTCTGCTTGGTTTCTGCGTCATCGCCGCAGCTTCCGACAGCAAACCTTCACCGGTCGAAGACGGTATACTGTTCTTTACTCACACAATCTCATCGATTTTCTTGTTAGTTAGACTGCGTGGTGAAGTTTCTCTCATAGTGTTAATGTGTTGACGAAAGCATGAATAATTTATTTTGCTCTCTCTGCTTTCAAAAACAGAGGTACACAGTTGCTTGTATTACTTGATTCTTCTCTCTAAAATGGGTTACTTACACAGATCCAGATAAGAAGCTAAATTATTCACTTGGATTCTAGAGTTTTGTTTTAGGGTTTTACCTCCAATCTCACTTCTTTCTGTTACTTTACCCTAATCTAACTCCTTCTCAGTTCTCTGTTGCTTAGTACTTAGCTTTTTTTCCTCAAAACTGTTTTGAGTCTTTTGACTGTTAGCTGAGCAATGAGTAAAGCTGGATTCAGTGCAACTATTAATTTTCATTTTAAGTCATCACAATCATAAAAAAGCTTTAGGGTCATCTTAGGTAAAAGAATAGAATATCCCTCTTCAGCTCCTTAAGTCCCGCTGTATTCAACTCAAATCTTCAACGGTGAAAACTATTTTTTTAGTCTTTACTCTTTAGAAAACTATACTACTAGTGGAACTATTAATTAGATCCTTAAATTCGACTAGTCATTTCCCTGCCCTAAGGAAAAGGGCAATCGTAAATGTAGACACAAGACCCACATACTCATAACTCATGCCAATGTGCGTGATTCCCACCAAAGTTAATGCGTGGACGGTGGACCGTAAAGATGTAACGGTTCAGTTCTCGTGTCTTCTCTTTACTCGTTGTCTCTCTATTTATAATAATAATAACTAGACTCGACAACCGATGATTAGAATGAGCTCACGAGAAATGCGAGGGAGGGAATCTATTCCGGATGATAAAGTTTGTCTAGAGTACAAATTCTTGTGAGAATGTAAGGTCCAAAAGTGAACATTAAACTTGAAATTTATCATTCCTGTTTAGGGGACCAACTGATTGTTATCCATCTCCATCCCATATTTAAATACCGTACTTATCCCTTTTTCCCTTCATAAATTATTTACAAGTACAGTTGTAAGATTTTATTTAATGATAGTTTAGAAACTTAGAACATTGTTTGTAATAGTTCCTACAGCTTCAATTTTAGTTGTCGGTGCAAAATAAAATTTCCGTTTCAAAATAAATATCATTTTATGATTTCAATATTAATTTTATATGTTACTATATTTTTTATTGGTTGAAATATGGTAGATTTATATGTAATGATAGTTTTTGTTTAAAAAATATGTTAAATTAAATATTTTTAATCTATGTACACAAATCTAAAAACATAACTAAAATAAAATAAAATATTCCTGCTAATGTTTCATTTTATTTCTATAACTATGTTTCAAAGTCGATTTCTGTAGACCTTCACATAGATTACATTTCCTCCAAGTAATCAATAAAGCAGTCGTTATTAGAAAAAAAAAACCTAAAATGAGATATAGTGAGTAATACTCCCTCCGTTTTATATTAAGTGTCATTGTAGAGAATTTTTTGCGTTACAAAATAAGTGTCGTTTCAGTTTTCAATGCAAAATTTATTAATTTTATTATGTAATTTGTTTTTCTATTGGTTAAAATATGGTTAGGTGTATGGGTAACTGTGTTTTTATATAGGAAATATGTAAAATTAATTGCTTTCTTAATCCGTGTGCACAGCTATAGAGTGACACTTATAATAAAACAGAGGGAGTATAATTCATGTGAATTAGTCTAAAACAACTAGTGAGATGGACGTAATGGACGTAGTAACTAATTTTCTATTTTGGCGGGACTTATTTCAGGCTTGGTGGTTAACGGTGACTTCGAGACTCCACCGTCAAACGGCTTCCCTGACGACGCCATGGTCCAAGACGCCACCGAGATCCCTAGCTGGCGCTCTGACGGCACCGTAGAGTTAATAAAGTCCGGTCAAAAACAAGGCGGAATGATCCTGATCGTTCCCGAGGGACGTCACGCGGTGAGACTAGGAAATGATGCTGAGATAAGCCAAGAAATGACTGTGGAGAAAGGTTTTATCTACTCGGTCACGTTCAGTGCCGCCCGCACGTGTGCGCAGCTAGAGTCGCTGAACGTCTCGGTTGCTTCTGGTGAGCCTATCGCGTCGCAGACCATTGACTTGCAAACGCTTTACAGCGTTCAAGGGTGGGACCCTTATGCTTGGGCGTTTGAAGCGGTTGAGGATCGTGTTCGGTTGGTTTTTAGGAATCCTGGTATGGAGGATGATCCTACTTGTGGTCCAATCATCGACGATATCGCTGTTAAGAAACTCTTCACTCCTGATAAACCCAAAGGTAATGTTTAATTTTTTGCTAATATAACTTCTTAATTTTTCCTTCTTATTTAAAATTGCTCACATTTCTTGAGTTTTTTTATTTTCTAACCAAAATAGAGGACATTTAAAGTACAATTAGCACATACATAGAGTACTTTCCTTTTCAGTTTTCAGAATGTATCATGTTTTGTACTAAATCACACATCAAAAATCTACTTTTTGTTAAAAAAATATTAGAATAATATTAAAACTAATTTAATAGATTATTAAAAATAGTACTCCTCCGTTTCAGAATACTTGTCATTCTATGCTTATTTTTTTGTCACAAATTAAGTGTCGTTTTTGAGTTTTAAGGCAAAACTAGACCTTGACCCGCGCGCCAGCGCGGGTATGATTTTCCGGTTGTTGATTATTTATTTTATTAAATGATGTACTTGTAATACTTGATCATATTATATTCACTTAGCATATAATATTTTTGGCATGTTAAACCATCTATTGTATGATCAATCTTCGATATCATATAAAAAAAATTAAACATATATAGTTAATTAGAGAATTGTATACTATATATAAAGACAATGGAAATGACCGCAAATTATTTTAAAAATTATATTATGACTCAATATGCCTAAAAATTAAAAGTTAGTTTAACATGTTTAAAAAAATAAAAAGATTTTGTAAATTTGTATAAAAAATAAACATATAAAAACAGATTAAAATT